CTAACTGGCAATTCTGTTGCTGATGCATGAAGAACAACCAAACACAGCATGCTCATCTTTCAGCTTCCCTCTCCCCTTCTAATAGGAACGAAACATGGCTTTTTTTTTTTGGCCATAAATTAGGCATATAAGAAAACTGAAAAAATAAAAAAGGGTGCATATATTTTCCATGCAGCAAGGTCAACTTTTATGGTTAGTCTGACCGGGCATTTATACACATGCTCTGAGAGGGGGTGGGGGCACTTAATTGAGTCAGCTCCGATGTGCTATGTTGGAGCAGCTTCACTGCACATGTTTAGACACCCATTATAACCAAAGCCATGTCCTTTTTTGGAAGGAGACAAGAAATTTAACCCCAAAAAATGCAATTTGAGGTTTCCCTAAACTGTTGACAAAATTTGGGAGATGGATTCACAATACTGTTTAAGGAGGAGTAGAAGATACCACTATCATGACTTCCCCTGTTTTTATCTAACAGCAGAGGTTTAGGACAGTCACCCAGGATATGAGAGGTCTTCAATTTCCACCTTTGCCAAAGAGGGTATGAATCAAAGTCTTCAAGACATCTAATTCCCATGAACAACTGCTCTAACCATAGGGTATTCTAAGGCAAGTCTACCTTTGTTACCTCTTGTTGGAGCTGATCTACTTTCCCCACAATACTTAAATATTCACTGAGAGACTCTCCCTGTTCAACAACTGTTCAATTATGTATACAAAGTAAAACAGAGATTCTTCCCCTTCTCCTTCCTTCCCCCACTCCCTTCCCAACAGCCATAACTAGACAGCATTCTTGTTGGAAGTGGGAGATGCAAGACAAATTCACTCAGGCAAAAAAATGCAACTTTAAAAAAAAAGAAAAATGCATCTCAAACCAAATAAACTTCTTTTTTCCAAATTTTCAGTTTGATGGTCAAGCAGAAAATTCAGTATTTGGACATGCCTAATTATAATTACATGTATAGTTAGACAGTAAGCGCCTATTTGTGGCACTTAAAATCAGAAAAACTGATTCATGGATGCTCTACAAAGTAGCCCTAAATCAGCAGAGCAGGGCAGTTCATGATTCCTCTTGCATGAAAGGATCTGCAGGTGTTGAGGGCATGGGAAAGAAAAAGAGAGTACAGCGCAGATGCTGCTGAATCTGGCAGATACTCAGCTCCCAGATCATCCCCTGGGGACTACAGTCAGTAAATGTATAGCATTTTTTGCACAACTGTTCCCAAAATGAATTAAACAAGAACTGCCTTAAGTCAAGGAGACAGTGAGCAATACAAATAAGGGAAAGGGCCAAGGTGGCAAATGAATGAAGAATGATAAAAATGACAATAAGAGACTTCATGAGGGTAGGAAGACGGTGCCTACAAATATAACTTCCTTGAAGCCATTCATTGTTCAAGGAAGAATTTGTTCTTGACTGCATGACTGCATGAAAATTTGCCCAAAACCCCTGCCATTAACCACCAGCGGAGCTGCATCATGGCAAAATCCTGATCGATTCCACAAGTGTAGATCAGGGATTTCTTTGCCTACATACTGGGCATGCAAGGCCATCATCAGCTGACTACTGACTACCAGAATCAGAAAAATACCAGCATAGGCAAGAACTTAAAGGATGAAGGGAAATAACTGGAAGCTGGAAGAGATTGCTGACTCACATACAACATATTAAGCTATTGCTACTGGTAACATTAACACATATAGTAATCTAATGCAAGTTACAATTTAGAGACATGCTGACAAAAGTGTTCATTTCAGTCATTCATCACATACCAGCTGATGCTTCAATGAATATCATGCTAAATGAGAATGACTCCCAGAACGGTTATTAAGTACCATACCTGAGGCACCTCTCAGATGGCATCCTTCAGTTTATTCTTCTGACTCACCAAATTTAAAGCCTTGTGGTAGAAACAGCAAGCATTCCCACTAGCAAAAAAAAAAAAAAGGAGAGAGATATGAAAATTAGACCATCTCATCCTTAGAGGTAGTCTCTTCTTTCCTTCCTCAGCAGTTTCCACATAAAATCTTAGCAACAATACCAGTCCCTACACTTGAAGGTATGGTTTTGTCCCATAAACTTAGTGACAAGTCAAACTCAATATACTATATTTTCTCACATACAACGCATGGCATAATATAATATGTTTTCAAAAGGAAGAATGAAGGTAAAAAAGATTTTTTTCCGGAGTTATGGCTGCATATGAAAGGGAAGTAGCCTAAGCTTCAGACGACTCACCCTCCCTTTCCTGCTTTACTAAAGCTGAAACCCTAGCTGTGGCTGAAGACTAGTCTTCATAGTTGGATCTATGATTCTGAAAAGAGCTAAAGGATGTCCAAAGCTGTGAAATAGAAGAAGAAAGACCAGGAACAGCTAGCAGACAGCAAAACTGCCTTAAGAAAGGTTAGCTCAGGGGCAGGCAAAATATAGCCTGCGGGCCAGATTCAGCCCTCCAAGCCACTCTATCCAGCCCATGGGCCCCTAAAAATTTTAGAAAATAAATTTTTATCAGTCCCTGGCTGCCTGTCAAAGATGACAGGCAGCCAGCAGCAGCAGGACCGAGGGGAAGCCAGCGGCAGGACCCAGCTGCTGAGCAGCAAAGCTGGCCCAGCTCCACCCCACCCCCAGGCCTCTGCCCTGCTCCAACCCCAGCCCTCAACCAGAAGCCTCTGCGGCTTTGGGCCTCATGGACCTGGGGCTGTTCCCTGCCTCCCTCCATCCATGTGGAAAGTAAGATAAGATCAGACAGAGGGAGGGGGGGGAAACCACTGTGATCAGCTCAGCAGGTGGGAGCTGCATGCTGCTGGCCAGGCTGGACTGGAGCCAGAGTGGGAAGCAGCAGGCAGGGGGGTGGAGGGAAGCAGGGGTGGTGGTGGGGCTGTGGGAAGCAGGAGAAGCATAGGGAGCAATGCAGAGAGCAGCAGCAGGGCTGTGGGAAGCAGCAGCAGTAGTGCAGGCAGAAGCAGGGGGAGCAGCCAGAAGGCCATGGCAAGTGGCAGCAGTACAGGGACCAGCAGAGGCCTATAATTACTCAGGTCCTCCTTCCTCCCCTTCTTGAAAATACAAAAAATATTTAGATCATTTGAAGCAATACAACATACCACACGAACCATTCATAGTTTCATAGTTTCATAGATTAAGGGTCGGAAGGGACCTAGTAGATCTTCTAGCCCGACCCCCCGCCAGGGCGGGAGAACAACAAAAACCCCAAAAACAAGAAACAGGACTCAAATGAGTCCAGCCAGGTAGGCATCCAGCCTCTTCTTAAAGACCCCCAGGGTAGGGGCCAGCACCACTTCCCTTGGAAGTTGGTTCCAGCTCCTAGCCGCCCTAAC